TTATATTTATAAATTTAATTATTTTTTTTTTTTTTTTTTTTTTTACACACACATGCACAAACCTGCACCCAATTGCCGAAATCATCCACAGAATTGTAATTCCCAGCCAGGTTCGTCCCCTTTGTTCATCCTTATACTTTTGAATAATAACCATTTTGAGTCTTTTCTTAATCCTTGGACTTTGCTTCAGCTCTTTAGCGAATTTATTCCAGATCTTCACACCAATGACAGAAATGTACATTCTTTTCATTGTTGTTCGAGCCTTCAGAGTTCTGAAGTTGAGGTTTTCTCTATAGTCATATCCCCCCCACTCTATCAGAAAATATTTTTTTTATATTTTCTGGTAATATTTTGTTTCTGACTTTATACATAAACTGTGCAGTTTGAAACTCCAGCAAATCAGAGAGTTTCAGTAAATAAGAATCTATAAACAAATTGTGGGTGTGACAATAAAAATCAGCTTTATGAACTGAACGAATGGCTCTTTTCTGTAATGTGCATAATGGTTGAAGTGAAGTTTTGTAAGTGTTACCCCAAACTTCCACTTAATAACTTAGATATGGTAAGATAAGTGAACAGTACAGAATATATAGGGCAGAGGAGTTTAGATGTTTTCTAGCCTTAAAAGGAACTGCAATACTTATTATTTTAGATTGGACATATTTTATATGAGGTTTCCAACAGACCTTAATTTGAATCAATATTCCCAAAAACCAGATTTCAGTCACTCTCTCCACGGTCACATTATCGATTCCTATTTGTAAATCACTTTGCCATTTACAATTACCAAATACATAAACTTTGTTTTATCTAAATTTAATGACAATTTGTTAATATTAAACCACTCTTTCAGTTTACATAACTCTAAATTCATTTCAAGAAAAGCTGCTGTAAATTTTCACCCATACCAAAAATGTTTGTGTCGTCAGCAAATAATACAAATTTAAGTATCTTGGAGACCTTACATATATCATTTATGTATAAAATAAACAATTTTGGTCCCAATTCTGAGCCTTGGGGAACACCACAAGGTTAGGGTTAGTACCCTTCTGAATTTATTGTAAAATGGTTTTTGGACTTGTGCTTAATTTTTTTTCCAGGACTCACTGTCCTTTAAGTCCTGGACTTTATGCATCATGGCAGAATTAAAAATTTTATTTTAAAATGATTCTGACATTTTTTAAAAATGTAACCTCAACTGTGCAAAACACACAAAACTCCACACTGTAAATATACAAACCCTGTTAGATATTGAAGTCTAGATTTTGATTTGTTCACATTCAAAACTCTGATTGGTAAGGTAAAATCTTTTTAAATATATAGCACATTTCCAGCAACAAGGCAATACAAAGCGCTTTACAGGAATGAAAAGGAAATACAAACAAAATAACAAACCAAAGGAAAGAGCAAAAGAAGAAAAATAATCTAATGTTGATTTAAACTATGTAAACTAGGAGCTCCTGTTCAGGGTTGCTAATTGTCTGGTCTAAATTTTGGTCTCATTTTTATTTATTGTATTGCAAACAATGCAAACTGCTGTGTGTTTCTTTAAAGTCACTCAGTGTTATTTACACATAAAAACAAAATAAAGGTCATTTTTTAAATACATCTAAGATGTGATACAGTTAATGGAATAAACTAGAATTATATACACATTTAAAAGAGAGAACTTGTTCCTACTGTTTACATTTGAAAAATAATCAATGGGATTCAAGGTGACAGTTTGCTCATCCAGCTTTTGTAAAGTTTGTAAACTTTAATTCAGATGATCTTACTCAGTTTTTATGTTCTGATTTAGACTTAGACGACAGCAAACATAATTTTCTCAAATACAGATATGTTACTTATGACTGCTGTAGAAACCAAACAGCAGGATGAACAAACCTGTGATCAACTTTATTTCACAAATGAATCATTTTCATAATTAAGTATTTGAAGCAGACGGGTTTTATCATAAGAAAAAATCATGTTAGATGCCTACATGGTGAAAAGCAGATGACCACTAAAGGTCGTGTGACGATTGTGATCATCAAAAATCCGTGAATTGGCCCACATACGCAAATATACAACATCTCCAATTTCTAACAGCAGTGAGACGCCATTAGAAGCTTTCTGACCACCAGAAGGTAGATGAGTATATGACATGAAGATATGCTGTCTGTTCTTGACCAACACAGCAGATGTAGGATGTGAAGAACTTCCATATCCACATATGTGGACCTCAAAGTGATACACTCCTCTTACTGGTGCAGTGAACAGCCCTGTGAAGAATCATTAGCAGGATTAGAAACATTTTCCCAACTTTACTTTCAGAACAAATTTACCATATTTTAGTTATAATTGTAAACATATATAAAGAAAAACACAAGGAGTAAATTGCAGCACCTGTATCTGGGTTGTAGGCATTTCCGATATTTGTAAAAACATTCCTGAAGATCAGATTTATTTCAGTGTTGAACGGCCGAATGTTTCCGTAATATGATGCCAACAAAGAGGCAGAGAAAGCCAGTTGTTTGGCTGAGACACAGACAGACAGACAGACAGACAGACAGACAGACAGACAGACAGACAGACAGACAGACATGGGGCATCAAAGACTGTTATACAGCAGGGAAAAGTATTAAACATTGGGACATTTGCCACAGTTAAAATTGTTTTAACAAGCCTACTGACTAATAAATCCAAATAATTCACATGTACCAAAACTGCAAAATAACTTAGTTGTATTCTATTTTCATTCAAGAACTGATCAGATTTAATATCTAACCATTTTTTGTGCTGGAGTCATGACTACCAAACTACCACATGAAATGAAACTCAGAGTTGATCAGATAAGAACTGATCCTGAATCTCAAACCTCGTCTTTGGAGTCGACCTCCAGCTCAGACTGACTGATTTAATGACAGCAATGAATAACAGTTCTTTGGCACTCGGGCCCCAGCAGCTGATCTGAGCTGAGATTTGATGTGAACTC